GAAAAATGTTATAAATATCAACCTCTAAAGATACATTTTTATGAAATGTTTAATAATTTTCCCATTGAAAAGGGAATTTCAGTATTTTTTTTTTGGAATTTTATTTAAAAGCTGTAAAATGACCAAATAATTTAACTTGTTCCAGGTATAGGTTCATGGGAAAGGTTCATGGGAAAGGTTCATGGGAAAGGTTCATGGGAAAGGTTCATGATAAAGGTTCATGGGAAAGGTTCATGAGAAAGGTTCATAAGAAAGGTTCATGGGAAAGGTTCATGAGAAAGGTTCATGGGAAAGGTTCATGGGAAAGGCTCATGAGAAAGGTTCATGAGAAAGGTTCATGGGAAAGTTTCATGAGAAAGGTTCATGGGAAAGGTTCATAGGAAAGGTTCATGAGAAAGGTTTATGGGAAAGGTTCATGGGAAAGGTTCATGAGAAAGGTTCATGGGAAAGGTTCATGGGAAAGGTTCATGAGAAAGGTTCATGGGAAAGGTTCATGGGAGAGGTTCAGGAGAAAGGTTCATGGGAAAGGTTCATGGGAAAGCTTCATGAGAAAGGTTCATGGGAAAGGTTCATGGGAAAGGTTCATGAGAAAGGTTCATGGGAAAGGTTCATGGGAAAGGTCTAAATTAATGGGTATAGAAAGGTTCAGGATAAAGGATAAGGGGAAAGGTCTAGAGTAAGGGGTATAGAAAGGTTATGGGGAAAGGTCTAAATTGATGGATATAGAAAGGTTCAGGATATAGGATAAGGGGAAAGGTCTAGAGTAAAGGGTATAGAAAGGTTCTGGGGAAAGGTCTAAATTGATGGATATAGAAAGGTTCAGGATAAAGGATAAGGGGAAAGGTCTAGAGTAAGGGGTATAGAAAGGTTAAGGGGAAAGGTCTAAATTAACGGGTAGAGAAAGGTTCAGGATATAGGATAAGGGGAAAGGTTTAAGGTTAAAGGGTATAGAAAGGTTCTGGATAAAGGATAAGGGAAAGGTCTTGAGTACAAAGTAAAAAATCGATGATTATACCCTCGGCAAAAACATCTTAAGTATTTTAAATAACATTTTACATCTAAATACGGGTATTTTTCCTGAAAAATGTAAATAAATCATTACTTTGCAAATATGCGAATTGCAGATAAATTCGCCCCAAGAAAAAGTGCTGACATATCGTAAAATGTTCGTCTTGATGGGCTCTTTGAGAATCTCAAAATAAGTTGCATGGGGTTTTTCTTATCTTTTAGAGGTCCTTTCTCTTAGAATTAAAAAGTAATTTCCAAAGGAACTGATACCAAAGCAAGTACTAATTTATAATCCTTATATCTTTGTAAACTGATCTCATAGCTCTTTGATTTTACACAATAAAACTTACTCTTACAGGTTGCAAAGATTGAGCCAAGTGCTCAAATTCTTTGACTGAATAATTGATTGAGAATTGGTGATATCTTACCCATCCCTCCTCCCTCCCACCCCCTTCAATAATTCCCACTAAGAAAATACTTGCTAAACAGCTTCCACCCCTAAAATAATATGTTAAATTATGTAGAAAATTACTTTCAAAGTTTTGATGGGCTACACATTGAATTATGGAAGAGTTTGGCGGGAGTAAACTTTAATAAACTTTGCTAGGAGCACTCTCGCACTTTTCACAACTATTCAAAATATTACAAATCTTTAGATTAGTTTGCAATCTTAAAATTGAAAAAGAAGTGGTAAAATATTCAAAAAATAATTATTTTGTTTAAAAAGTTATTTTGTTCAGGCTTAGAGTGGAGTGAAGTAGAGGTGTCACAAGTTAGGGATTAGATTAAAACTTTGCAATTAATTAAACAAGTTTATACTGATTGTCTTTAGTCAGGGGAATTCAGGGGGATATCAGGGTGGATTCAGGGGGATTCAGGGGGATTCAGGGGAATTCAGGGGGATTCAGGGGAATTCAGGTGGATTCTGGAGGATTCAGGCGGATATCAGGGGGATTCAATGGGGTCCAGGGGGATTCAGGGTGATTCAAGGGAATTCAAGGGGATTCAGGGGGATTCTGGAGGATTCAAGGGAATTCAGGGAAATTTAGGGGAATTCATGGGGATTCAGGAGGATTCAGGAGGATTAAGGAGGATTCAAGGGGGTTCAGGAGGATCAGGAGGATTAAGGGGATTTCAGGGGGATTCAGGAGGATTCAGGATGAATTCAGGGGGATTCAGGAGGATTCAGGATGAATTCAGGGGGATTCAGGGGGATTCAGGAGGATTCAGGAGGAATTTAGATGGATTCTGGGGAGTTCAGGGGGATTCAGGAGGATTCAAGAGGAATTTAGATGGATTCTGGGGAATTCATGGGATTCAGGAGGATTCAAGAGGAATTTAGATGGATTCTGGGGAAGGGGGATTCAGGAGGATTCAAGAGGAATTTAGATGGATTCTGGGGAATTCGGGATTCAGGAGGATTCAAGAGGAATTTAGATGGATTCTGGGGAATTCATGGGATTCAGGAGGATTCAAGAGGAATTTAGATGGATTCTGGGGAATTCATGGGGATTCAGAGGGAATTCTGGAGATATGCAAGGAAAACCACAGGAAATTTTTTCAGTAATGAATATGAAAAAATAGTTTGCAGTGAAACATTGAGATTTAAAAAATAATATTTCTAATCTGGAATAATCTGATTCAAAGTCTTACCGATATTCTGATCTATGGCTTCCAACTGCATAATAACAGAATTATCTTATATTTAATTAAATTTCAAAAACCAGGGTTGAGTTTTTTAAAATTAAGTTTAGAGAATAAATTTAGTGTGTGCGTTGGAAAATATTATTTATCAAAGGCGTTTTCTCAGTCCAAAATTGCGTTATTGGAAAATGTATAGAATTAATGAATTGAGAAATATAACATTAACATTTATCGATCTTTGAAATGCATGGAAAGCCAGGATTGAATTTATATTTTAAGAAAAAGAGGAAACGAACAGCACCGGACATTTATGTAAATATTAATAATCTGTGAAGACAGGTTTATGTTTCTATGTATGAGTGTATACTGTGTACTGTATATTTGGTAGATTATTCATATAATTCCATCAAATATCAAATCTACCATTTGCTCCCTAACACAGAATATAAAAAGGATAATCCCCTGCCCTCTTTCCTCTCCCCCCTCCTATATCCCTCTCAATATTCCGTCCCTTTCCCCTTACTATACTCATCCATTCCATCCCCCCAGGGACAGATGAAATATTTCCCCTGTAAACTCATGTTATTAGGATGAGTAAAGAGGAGGCATGTATTATCAGACTAAACAGGGAAATATGGCGGAGGAAAGAAAGAAGAGAAGATGAGAAGAGAGATGGAGGTTAAAAGGGAAAAAATAAGAAATTTTGAGTTAGGAGGAATGTATAGCATGGAAGGGAGTTGAACACTTGAGTTGGTAGGAAGAAGAAGGATGGAGTTGGATGGAAGAATGATGGAGTTGGATGGAAGAATGATGGAGTTGGAAGGAAGAAGAAGGATCGAGTTGGAAGGAAGAAGGATGGAGTTGGAAGGAAGAAGAAGGATGGAGTTGGAAGGAAAAAGAAGGATGGAGTTGGAAGGAAGAAGAAGGATGGAGTTGGATGGAAGAAAAATGATGGAGTTGGAAGGAAGAAGAAGAAGAATGGAGTTGGAAGGAAGGAGAAGGATGGTTTTGAAGGGAGAAGAAGGATTAAGGTGGAAGGAAAAAAAGGATAGATTTGATTGAAGGAGAAGAAATGAGTTATAAAGAAGGAGAAGGAAGGAGTTGAAAACTAGGAGAAGGATAGAGTTGAAGAAAGGAGCTGGAAGGGCGGAGACGGAAGATAGAGTTGAAAACTTGAAGGAGGGGAAAATTATATAGTTAGAAAGGGAACCATTCCTTTAGTTCAAGAAAGGTGTGTGTACCAAGAAAAGAATAATATATATGTATGATATGAACACTGAACAGACAGAATAAATTGATCTGAGTGTGTTGTGTATGTGTATATCATAATATTAATTTAGAGTTAGATCTGTCTAGGAGGGTAGGAGGGATACAGGGGATACACTGGGATATATGAATAAGATTAGGTTACAACTAGTACTCAGTAGGGAGACGGGGGAATAAATGAGAAGATGGTATCATCAGGATTTAGGATTATTGGACCGACATAAACCTGCCAATTGTGACAACTTCCATTTTTATATAAAGAAGAACAAATTCTATAATATTCCGCAAATACTTTATCAAATAAAATCTTATTATATTTCTTTGAAACAACAGTTGTATTAAATCAAAATATAGCCAAAAAAATAAATGCCAGAGAACTGAAATTTCCACTAAGGGATTTTGTCCCGAGAGATTATTTTGGGAAATTTCTTAAATATTCCGCGGCAGCAGCGCGCGCACGTGCCACGGATAAATCTGGGATATTTTTATGTAAAAATCTGCCACGCAAAGACGATCACGTGCCACCTACTCCATTATTGGTACGTAAACCGAGTATAGATGTTAGACTAGGTTTGCATGGTTAAACATGGATAAAAGTCCCCCTACTGAGCTGAGCTAAATTGAGCAAAGGGAAACCGTTCTCCTATCTAAATACACGTTCATCAGGAACCGGAAATGGATGTTGGGGGATTTTACAACGAGATTGACTTAAATGAACTCTCCCGGGAGAATATGGTTGGAAAATATATTCGACAGGAGAATATATGATTTATTCAGACTGACATTTCTACATATTTTGCGAATTCAATTTGGTTTCATTAATGTCAAATTTTAAGAAGAACATTTAAATTTGTAGAAAATTTTATTTCAGTCAAAATATTTTATACAATATTGATTTACAATATCTACATTTACAAAAAAAAAGTTTAGTAACTTGTCAAATCAAGGTTTTTTATCGCCGCATAACATCCTGGTACAATTAAATTGTACCATTTTTAATCATTTTAATAATATTTTAAGAAAAATACGTTTACTGTCTTTAATCTAAACAATAGACAGGGATAAAGTTTGTCAAATTGGGATAGTTTTATAACTAGTTTTATTGTAAACAAACAACATTAAAATTTAACTAGTTCAAGCTGTTTTCATAAGTCACAGTAAAATGTAAACAAGTCCCATTCCTGAGATCCTCATTTAGATTCAGATAATGTTTGGCATAGTATGTACACTATGTACAGTACATCATTCAGGAATGTACGGGGTCTATCAGACAGCTTACTGGTTAATGGCTGGTAAGGGAGGAGAACAGATGTTGGATAATGCTGTATTCATCCTGATCCTCATTTTCCTCTGTCTAAACAATACAAAATTATAAATTGATTAAAACCTGTAGATTGTGTACAGTAAAATACTAAGAAATTAATGTTTCGCGGATTTCCTCATAATTTGAAGAAAATAGCAATAAAAATAAGATTATTATCTTTATAAAAAATTCTTAAAGAGCTTCTGTCAGAAACCCACTACTGCAGTGTAAAGAAGATATATCGATTGTTTATAAACGTTTAAATTTTTAATACCATTACTTTCTAAATGCTTCAAAAAATAATTATTTTAACCAATAAAGTAGAATTATCTTGAAAATATTTTTAGAGAAATTGCTACTGCTTTAACTTTATTTTCTTTATGTACTTGAGGTTTTGTTCATATTCTACAAAAGCATCAAGATATATAGTATTTATATAGTTCAACTGCTTGGAACGAAATAGCTGTAGTTTCTTGACAAGAAATAACAAGGAATAGTAAATACAACTGAATAGGATGCTTTCTTTGAAAATGAGGCTTTGTAAAAAAAATTAAATGAACAAAATTTAATGAACCGCAAGAGCGCCCCTTTCGAAAATGATGAACAGATATGTATCTCCAACCTGTTCTGGATAGAAATCCCATATGAGCAGGGAGGCCAGGTCAGGAGCAGAGTTCGCGAGGTCGATCTCGTCCTGATCAAAACCATTATTGTAATTCAATTTCATAACTACAGCAGGGATTTAAAAAGTAATGTTCCAGATACACAACTTTGTTCGGAACAGATATGAAGATTCTAATTTGATTGAAAGTTTTCTGTAAAAGCAAATTGGAGGATTTCTGCATCAGAGACGGATGGAAAAAACATTATAATTACTCAAGGTTTACATTTTCAAACTCGAATTCATGTCGACAGTACTTGCAAGGGCTTTTAGTCTCAGTTTTTGCCATGTTGTTTAGAGCTTTACACTTTTAAATGTACAGATTTAGTTAATCTTAATCTTTCTCATAGAAAGATAAACCTATCTCTCATTAACCAAATCTTAAACTTTTTCCAACCTCATCTTCAACATTTCCAAAACTTAAAAATAATTTTAGATTCTTTCAAAATAATTGTTTTCCTGATTAGTGAAGTTTAGCATAGGAATAGGTCCAGGGCCCGGGCTACCGGCTTCAGCCATTAGATGATGAAGTTTTCTAAAAAGAACAGATTTAATGTTTGGGAATTAAATTAAAAGCCCGAAAAACATTTATCGAACGACAAAAAAGATTAATGATTTCTGGAATTCGGATATTCTTACAATGTTATCTGGATTTTTGAGAAGAATTTATTAAGTGAATCCCAGCAAGTAAACTTTTTAAGCTTCACCTCTTTCTGAAAAATAAAAAGTATGGGTTAAAAATAAAAACTATTACCCAGCCATTCAGAAATTAGAGTTTTTGTCGCCAACTCGAATTTTCTAGTCTTTATATCTTTGCAACCTTATGTTGTAATACTTTGATATTTTAAACTTAAACTATTTGATCTAACAGAATGTATAGTTTGAAATATATAAGGTCTATGCCATCGGGTTGCAGAGATGTAGGGATTAGAAAATAAAACGTTTTTTGAGAAATTATTTTTTAAATAATTTTCTTACTTAGAATCCTGGTCAAGTATACTTACTTAGTATCCTGGTCCAGTATAACTTACTTAGTATCCTGGTCAGGTATACTTACTTAGTATCCTGGTCCAGTATAACTTACTTAGTATCCTGGGCAAGCATACTTACTTAGTATCCTGGTCAAGTATACTTACTTAGTATCCCGGTCCAGTATACTTACTTAGTATCCCGGTCCAGTATACTTACTTAGTATCTTGGTCAAGTATAACTTACTTAGTATCCTGGTCCATTATACTTACTTAGTATCCTGGTCAAGTATAACTTACTTAGTATCCTGGTCCAGTATACTTACTTAGTATCTTGGTCAAGTATACTTACTTAGTATCCTGGTCCAGTATACTTACTTAGTATCCTGGTCCAGTATACTTACTTAGTATCCTGGTCCAGTATAACTTCCTTAGTATCTTGGTCAAGTATAATTTACTTAGTATCCTGGTCAAGTATACTTACTTAGTATCCTGTTCAAATATAACTTACTTAGTATCGTGGTCCAGTATACTTACTTAGTATCCTGGTCCGGTATACTTACTTAGTATCCTGGTCCAGTATGAGACTGTATCTGAGAAGCATATGAAGGTATCCAGCGTGTATAGATAAACTGGACAAAAACATATTCATTGTACAGAAATTATTATTTTTTAAATCTCTAAGTTAGATAAAGGGACTAAAAACGTGATTTAAAATGACTTTAGAGTTATGTACGATTCCTAACTTTCCCTTTAAACCTTTGTCTAATCAAGGATTAATAAGAAATCTTTATTTATTTCTGAAAGTTATTTTTTAAAATTGTAGTTTCTCTACAGAACTAACACTGTTTAAGATGAAAACGATAATTCCTTCCATATTATCGATCAGATAAAAGTTTAATGGGAAGTTCAGTTAATTGTTCAGGTTCCTTGTGAACAGTCACTTGAAGTTAACACGAAGTGTCTCTTTAATCTGTGAATACTCGTAAAAAAAACTATTTAAATATTCGGTAAAAAAGTGGTTTTATAGTCTAAGAAAATCCTCAAGTTTATCTAAAATCCCCAATTTGTGTAAAATGAACTGAAATCTATATTTTAAACTCAAAACGTTTCTATCAAATTTCCAGTGATTGGGTCGGGATGAGGATTAGAGTTTGTCACTATATAGGGATATAAAAATAAGTTTATGTCCCTATATAGGAATATAAAAATAAGTTTATGTCACTATATAGGAATATAAAAATAAGTTTATGTCACTATATAGGAATATAAAAATAAGTTTATGTCCCTATAGGGATATAAAAATAAGTTTATGTCCCTATAGGGATATAAAAATAAGTTTATGTCACTATATAGGGATATAAAAATAAGTTTATGTCACTATATAGGGATATAAAAATAAGTTTATGTCACTATATAGGGATATAAAAATAAGTTTATGTCACTATATAGGGATATAAAAATAAGTTTATATCCCTGTTGACTATAATATAGGGATATACAAATAAGTTTTTGTCCCTGTTGAGTATATAGGGATATAAAAATAAGTTTATGTCACTGTTGACTTTATAGGGATATAAAAATAAGTTTATGTACCTGTTGACCAAAAACGATTTCAGTTCTTCTTTTCTCGCCTGCGCGCATTCTCGAATCCTTCTTTCAATTTCGGCAACTATGAAACTTGATTCGGTAATTTTCTTTTTTAAAACATGCCTTTTTGTCCTAAATAAAGAGATTTTACTAACTTTAGTAAGCGAAAAATGCTATAACTTTTTATTGTAGAGTTGTTGAGAAGAACAAAAATTAAGAGCTATGAGGTAATTAACCATAATTTCGTCATTCTATTTCTGTCTAGTCTAGTCACGTTTGTTATTTTCTATTGTTCAGAAGAGAATTTTTTTTTTGTAAAATGTTTTAGAATTTTTGCGAGATTTTTGATTTAGAAAGACAAATACCTAATTTTGATGAGTTGACTGATTATCTGTGGAATATGTATACCGGGTGGATGACGACATCTAAAAAAATCAATTTAGGAATTACCTCTTTTTATAGAAATGAGTTTAATAACTTTTTAATTTGGTCAAATATTCGTTTTACTGATTGACCTGAATATCAAGAGATATAAAATCTCAATTCAATCTCAACATATCATAACTCAACCTTAGACCAGGTATATAAGTATATAGATAGTTTTATATTCCATCAAGCTACATAAATAATAAGCAGGTAGACAGGGACAATAAGGTAGTTCGGTGCAATATGATTTTATTGTTAAGATTGTTAGAAATATATTTCATTTAAAAAAATTTAAGTTTTGATTGTGTAAAGTATTTTCCCAAGGGCGACTTCCCAAATGACAATATCCCAAGCGGAAACTTCCCAAGGGTTATGTTAGGCCCTATGAGGAGCCGCAGTCTGCAATGGGGCCGAGCGCTGCGGCTGGAACAGGCTAGGGGACCGAGCTCTGTGGCTAAGACAGACTTGGGAAGTTTACGCTTTGGAAAATGCACAGTTGGGAAGTTGCCACTTGGGAAAAACACCCTTGGGAAGTTGGCGCTCGGAAAAATGCCTATGGGAAAGTACCTAAGATAGTTTTGATTGGTTCAGCCGTTTCGAACAAAATTATTGAATTTAAGATAAAGTTTGCTTACCTTGAGCATGCTTTGCACTCAAAATCATGGAATTCTACAGAACTAAAGGTTGTCAAACAATACGACATTTTGAACCAACAAACTGACACTTTATAAGAATCAATAAAACGTTAATAACGTTCACACGTTAGATTATTTACTGATAACGTGAAGATATATTGAAATCAAGAAACTTAGCATGGAGGGGGGGGGGATAAGGGGTTGCATGGTAGACTAGGGGAAGAGGAGAGGGGGGGGGGTGTAACTTGACCGTTAAACCAGTCTCTCTTCGAACAAGCGGTCAATTCATCGCTGAAGTGTCTATTATACTACAGTATGGGGGGGGGGATAGGATTTTTTGGCACATTTTACTTTATCAGTAATCATAATACATCACATTAAGATACGCAAACTCTATCCCCCCCCTAGCATTTAATCACTTTGAAAGACAGACAGGCCACCGGGGCTGTTTTCTTTAAAAAATGATTAATTTTTATCCTCTCCAATTTGTCGTTTTTTTGTCAAATTTTTTATAAGCTATACTTCTTCTTTAATTTACGGATAGTAAAAATATTATATGATTTGATGTAAACTTAAAATATTCTCTTTTCGTAGATCTTGAAAAAAATCATAAAATTTGACTGGAGTTTTATAATGAATACATTAATTTTGATTTTTTTTTAAATTTTGTTTCAATGGACACACTGTAGCGTAAGTTTCATACGAAAAAACAAAACTAAATAATGCCAATAATTTTCCTAATCGGAAATATTACGATTTACATAGAATAGACACACAGAGCTGTATTGCTTACTGTTAGCTTTGAGAACATAAAGGAATATCCACACAAAATTACACGTTAAAGACGACTGTACAGGACTTCTTAAATATTTTAGTTTACATTCATGTCCCCCAACAGCTCTAAAACTTTTTTTCTTTGCCAAATCATTTAGTATATAACCCATAAAAGATTTAATTAATTAAAAACCAAAGTCAAATTCATCTTTCAAATTGGGATTTAATGAATTAGAGCCGGTAACCCTGTACATACATTTGTATTCTTAAAAGGATTAATATCAGAAATCTATACATGTATATATATATATACTTTGCTTGTCTATCTGTTTGTTTGTTTCCAATAAACATCAAAACAGCTGAACCGATCGGGGCCCAATTTTTTTTAATGTCAACTCATATGACCCCATGGAGCGTCAAAATTGGAAAATTGGAAATTTTTACAAGAAAAAATGTTAAAATTAATTATTTTTTAAAATGTATAAAGCAAAACAAAATAAATCCGCGAAAATAAAAAAGCAATGTAAAATGGTGACTTTCCAAGCTGAAAGATGGTGCGAAGGCCATGAAAGCCTAGTTCCTTAAATATAACTATCTTAGGGTTGATTTTGGTCTTCTGTATTGAAAATAAAATTTAAAAGGTGTGCCAAACGATAAAATGGAATAAAAAAGAAGCTTACAGCTGCAGGAATCTATAAATTAAGGCAAAGACAATAAATTCCATGTAGTCGTATTTGAAGTCTCATTCCTTTGGGGATAAGCTTAAATACAAACCGATGTTGCTATCTAGCATACTAATATACGGAGGTATGGATGGGAGGGGGTGTTAGCATAATTAATAATCATGATGGGATTAGTGGGATTAACGAGATTGATGGGATTCTTAGGATTAACAGGATTCAGAGGATCAACAAGGACGGACCAGGGTGTGGATACACATTCACATAAAGGAACCAAGAGAACTTCTTGATTATTTAAAATAATTTGATTCAATGGATTTACATTTGTAGTCACTAAATATATTCCTAGAAAACCTATTAAATATTAAATATGTGATTTATTTAAATATCGAAATATAATAAGTTTTTTTTATAAATAAACAATGCGCAATTTACACCGTGTAATTGCAGCATTCGGCTACTTAGTTTGTACCTACCGCGGCACTTGAACAACAAGTTTTATAAATCCAGCAGAAAAAAATGTTAGATTTCTTTGAAAATGTTCAGAAATGGAACCATACGAACAGTGAACTAAAGTATGAAAGTTCTAAAGGAAATTTCAGGCAGAAGGGTTTGTGTCAAATACTTCTTAAAAAATTATTCAATTAAAACGCAACATGCTATCCTTTAAGTCTGCATTAATTTCACCATTTAAAAATTAGTTTAAAAATTTATTTTTGACTTTACAATTGGTCTGTGTACAAAGTTAATTTCCTTCAGAATTAATTCTACGAAAACAAAGATTCAATTACAATTCTTATTATGTATTTAGTTTTTTAACCTTTTTTGTTTCAACCACAGCTATCATAGATAGGACAGTTCAAAGTTTTTAGTTTCAACCACAGGTTGCACAGATAGGACACTCCAACCTTTTTACTTTGAACCATAGCTACCACAGATAGAAAACGTCAATCGTTTCAGAAAACTTTTAAAAGACTAAATCATCAGAAATAAATTATGTTTTTTGCCGTTTTCCTCCAATATAAATTGATAGTTTTTAATTTATTTTTGAAACGATATGAAAGCAAAAAAGGAACAGAGTACAGGACTCAAACTCTAATTCTTTAATCCTTTTATCTTTGTAACACGTAATATTTTAAACTTTTGCTATTTGATCTAGCAGAATGCATACTTTAAATAACAAAAATGTACACACTCTCAGGTTGCAAAGATACAAGGATTAAATTAGAGTTTAAGTGTTCAGTTCCTTTCCTAATGTACTAATGTACTAATGTGCTAATGTACTAATGTACTAATGTACTAATGTACTAATGTACTAATGTACTAATGTACTAATGTACTAATGTACTATAGTACTAATCGTCACAAGTCAAGTCAAAGAAAATAATTTTAAGTAATTTATAAAATTCTTATAATATTTTGTAATTCAAAAGAGAGAACATAAATTATGTCCACTGTTTATATGAGTCTAGCTATATATGAAAGTTTACCCTAAATTCTAGAAACTTTGGTAGATTGACCGCCACGCTCAGAACAATCACGAAGATGAAACATGTTAAAAACCCACTCTTAGCCTAAATATAAAACAATTAATGTTTGATTTGATAAATCTTTAAGTTTCTGAGGTCACAAGGGGGGTATATTCTTATTTGGAGTTGATTTCTCCCCCCCCCCTCCACTGACATAGTGTAGGATAAAAATGTCAACTGTGCAACCACGTAGCTCCTCTTAATGTTTAAATGTTTTTCGGTTACATATACAAGATTTTCAAAACAGTTTTGTTCTCTCCTAAACAGCTGTTTAATAAGAGAGGTTAGGATTGAAAACATAAAAATTTAATGTGACATTTAATTTAATATTCAGTTGGACGCGCCCCTTCCCTGTTTTAAAATAAGTCGATTTTTCTTCCCTATTTGGTAAATTTGAAAATCATGCCATGTCCTGATCCGGTTCAGATGAATCATGCCATGTCCTGATCCGGTTCAGATGCCATGTCCTGATCCGGTTCAGATGAATTATGCATTAAGCGTAGCGAGGGAGTTTATTGATTTGAAAAGATTGAAACATCAAAAATAATTATGAAAAAATCGAACCCAATCTCAAAATGGAATCGCTAAACTCTTGGCAAAAGTTTTCTCCGGTGTGATCGGACATAAAAATATCAGAAACGAACCAAAGTAGTCAGTCAGGTCAATATAGTTGTCAGTCAGGTCAATATAGTAGTCAGTCAGGTCAATATAGTTGTCAGTCAGGTCAATATAGTCAGGTCAATATAGTTGTCAGCAGGGACAATACAGCAGTCAGTAGGGACAATACAGCAGTCAGTAGGGACAATAAAGTAGTCAGCCAGGATAATATAGTTGTCAGCTGGGACAGTACAGTAGTCAGTAGGGATAATATAGTAGTCAGTAGGGACAATACAGTAGTCAGTAGGGACAATACAGTAGTCAGTAGGGATAATATAGTAGTCAGTAGGGACAATACAGTGGTCAGCAGGGACAATACAGTAGTCAGTAGGGACAATACAGTAGTCAGTAGGGACAATACAGTAGTCAGTCAGGTCAATATAGTTGTCAGCAGGGACAATACAGTAGTCAGTAGGGACAATACAGTTGTCAGCTGGGACAGTACAGTAGTCAGTAGGGATAATACAGTAGTCAGTAGGGACAATACAGTAGTGTTTTTTGATTTTGTGCATATGTATTTTNTCAGCCGGAATAATAAAGGGGTCACCAGGGACAAAAAGTAGTCACCCGGGACAATACAGTAGTCAGCAGGGACAATAAAGTAGTCAGCCGGAATAATAAAGGGGTCACCAGGGACAAAAAGTAGTCACCCAGGACAATAAAATAGTCAGCAGGGACAATAAAGTAGTCAGACGGGATAACAAAGTGGCCTTAAAAAGATACCTTGAGAGGTTGAACTATAGCTCGCTGTCTCTGTCCAGATATGACAACAACACAGTATATTGTCGCTGTTATCAACATACCCTAGAAATAGAAAGAGTTATAATAGAAAAATATTGAAAGACGGCTTTTTAGGACTTAAAAAGTAATATAAAAGTATTGAAGCGCTAATTGGAGTCGTGTCGCGGGTCCGACTGAACCAAGGTTGTTTAGTAAGGTTGCTTTGTCTCGATGCGTGCCAATGTATGGAAAATGTCGTCTCCAATGTGCTTTCTGCTTAGATTACAAAATGAAACCGGCCAGCGTCTCCCTCAGCACACGACCCAATACTACCTTGCCCGATACATTGTGACGTCATATACGGATTTGGAGCGCATCGAGAGTAAGCAACCTTACTAAACAACCTTGGACTGAACTAAACACTCACCACAAACTCTAATTTTCTTTCTTATTCCTTTGTCTTTGCAACCTGATGGTGTACACCTTTGTTATTTCAAACTTTGACTTTTTGATATAGCATTTTTAATCACAGATTTTCTGGGTCCATTTAAAAATTGAACAAACTACTTGGAATCTTCTGTAATTGGACAGCTTGAATCCTAATTCCTAGCTAATTCAATTTAGATTTGTTTAATGTTACTGTTTGGTTGTGTAGGTATAACACAATATCTAGCTCTCCATACACACCAAAAATGCATACAGACATCATATAAATCCAGGCTGCTATGAAAAATTGCATAAATTTTAAAGAATGGGTCGACTTTGAAATGTCTCAACGTCTTTGTCATTTGATTTTTCCTCATTAACTCACTTTTGTAGCCCTAGACATGTACATTTTAGAACCGGAAAGCACTTGTTTTTGGATTTGGTAAAAGTATAATTGGCAAAATTCACATCGATTTTAAGCTTGCAACCTTTGAATGAGTGATATATATACAGGGTGAGTAAAAAAAGTGTGGAGCGGCGTCTGGTGCAAAATTGTAATATTTTGTTCAACTCTCCTGTATGTTATTTTTCAATATTTTTTGGAATTTCTTTTTGGTACTCCAATGACCCAAAAAAATCAGCGCAACCTTTTCTCTCTCAATATCTAAGGTAAAGAAAAGCAAAAATGTGTATATATACATAATATTTCTATCAAATTCTAAAATTTTGTATATATTAAATAGCAAAATCACAGACAATTCACAAAATTGTTATAAGAAAATTAGCAATTTTCAGTTCTGGTCTAATTTTTAAGGAAATTTGTTTTCAACTGAACAGCGTATATTTATAACTGTATAATTTACTAAGAAGAAAGGAACTAGATGATTAAAAGAACTTTTCCTGATGCTTTTCAATTCTAGAATTTGAAAGAAATAATTTATATACACGTTTTTGCTTTTCTGAACTTCCTTGAGAAAAAAAAGTTTCGCGGAATTTTTGTTTGACCATTGGAGTACCAAACAAATAAAAATAATCAAAAAATATTGAAAAAATACCATACAAGAGTTGCACAAAAAAGGTACAATTTAGCATGAGACGCCGCATTTTGACTCACCCTGTATATAAATATATGCAATATCACCATTCTTCTTCATAAATATTAAAAGTTTTAGAAATTTGACAGGACCGGAGAGATAATACATTTTTCTTTGTATACAGAAAATATTAAATTTTTGATTTATCTGAGATTCAAGTTTATTTGGAGTAATACAGATGGTAGAGACAAGCTTTTTATTTAAATACCTTAATATTACAGAAAGGAGATGGTACAACCCCCCCCCCCCGGGAAAATTTGAAGTTGAAATCTTTTAATCAAAAGGTTGGGGAAAATACTGTCAACCTTTTTTCTTTAGGTTCAGATGAATTCTCTTTGCAGGAGAAATACACAAAATCTGGTTTTTTATTTCCTTTATCTTTGCAAACCAATGCCGTAGACCTGGGATATTTCATGAATTCTCTTAGATCAAATAATTTAAGTTTGAAATATCAAAGGTTTACACCATCAGGTTGCAAAGATATAAAGATTAAAATATTTGAATTTGGTGAATAAATAAAATATTTGGTGAACTCCTTTATCAAGTTTTAATTTTTTTTTTTGCAAAATAGGTTTTAAAGTTCGTAGAGTGATTAATTGTGAAACTATTAATTTCTCTTTTAACCGGAAACCCTGAACAGAAATGAACAATTTTTTCTAGTTAAAAATGCAAGTTTGGAACCCTTCTATCCACGATCAACTATAGACGAAGTAGCTCTTTTAATTTTGATTTTAAAGTTTGAGAGACGCAAATATATTCGGTTAGAAACTAGAAATACAAAACAATATTGTAATCCTCCATATAGCTCTTCCAATAATTAATCAGTCCACGCTTTGGTACCCTTGTTAATTCTACTTTATTAAAGGATGTTCACTTGAAATCAGAACCTCAACACATCTATTAGAATTAACCTTTTTATTAAGATCTAGATATTTATTCATGTATCGAGGTTATTACAGGTTAACAAAATTTGTTATTATGTATAAAATTATTTTTTTTGCGATATTATCGTGTACATACAATTACAATTTGATAAGGTCAAAATCCAGAAATTTACAGATACATTTTTTTCATTTTTTCATATTGAAGAAGATTATTGTTAGCATCGTAACATGGAACATTGAACGTTCCTAGTTAAAATTGATGCTACAAAATTTAAGTTTGAGAAAAAGAAAAAGAATTAACCTTGATAGGGTAGATAGTCGGGACGAGGAGAATATACCATTCAGGTTCCCCCCAGACAGCTGGTAGACCATTATCCACCAGCAGGGTGAGCAGGAGTAATCCGTCCAGTAGAGACAGCCCGGAGAGAAGCTTGGAGAAGGTCGAACCAGACTAGGATACATTATTACATATACTACAGGTACACTGCACTCAGGAGAGGGCCAATGGGGACCTAGCCCCACACCTTGAAAATATAAAAACACATTCCTGTTATTGATCCTGATTGCATTTACTATGATATTGGCCACCAAATATTTAAGATACAGAATATCTAAGATACAAAATATCTAAGATACAGAATATATATAAGATACAGAATATATAAGATACAGAATATCTAAGATACAGAAAATCTAAGATATAGAATAGCTAAGATACAGAATATCTAAGATACAGAATATCTAAGATACAGAATATTTAAGATACAGAGTATCTAAGAGAAAGAATTTCATTTCTAAGATACAGAATATCTAAGATACAGAATATCTAAGAGAAAGAATTTCATTTCTAAGATACAGAATATTTAATCATATTTTCTTTTTCTCTAACTTTATGAGAGTAATTTTACAGATNATTTATAATTACCCAGGATACATACTGTACTCAAGCTCACACCCTAGAGTACAATTATTAGTACATACGGTACTTAAGCTCACACCCTAGAGAACAATTATTAGTACATTCTGTACTCACCTTACACCCTAGAGTACAATTATTAGTACATACTGTACACAAGCTTACACCTTAGAGAGCAATCATTAGTACAGACTGTACTCAGGCTTACACCCTGGAGTACAATCAGTAGTACATACTGTACACAAGCTTTCGCCTTAGAGAAATTATTAGTACAGACTGTACTCAGGCTTACACCCTGGAGTACAATCAGTAGTACATACTGTACTCATGCTTACACGCGTGAACTAATCAAAGAAATATTGTAGGCATTAATATTTTTGTTGAAAAAAATACTTTTGTATGAGTTAAGATAAGAATCTAGAGAACAGTGCATATATATATATATATACCTAAAGGGAAACTTGTATGTTTTCTTTACTCTTTAAGCTAGTTATTGACTAGTGATGTACAATTTTAAGCACACATTGTACAGGGTGTCCCACGAAACATGACAGTTGGTGAATAGTTTAAAATGCCTTCTTCCATAATAAAGTTCAAAGTAAAATATATTTGAGAAAAAGATGTTTTTAACGAAATGACATGAAAAAGTCTTTAATATCTATTATAATATATGGAAGTAGACATTCAAAACTATTCAACAACTGTCATGTTTCTTGGGACACCCTGTACTTAAACTTGAGTTTAGAGTAAAATTGTACGCGTGTGCCGTGTACGTTCCAAAAAAAAGAGCTTTCTCAGAGCATAATTTGTCTGTGTCTAGATATCTCCAAACTATATTGAGATGTTTCGTGACAACAGAATTTTCGATTACATGTGAGTAGTTCACAGCTTAATTGAGTCTACCATTGATGAAACAAGTAGAAGACAAAAACTTTGTTATCTACAGGGTGGTGATATACAATTTCATGGAAATACAGGGTGGTGATCTACAATTTCAAGGAAATACAGGGTGGTGATCTACAATTTCAAGGATATACAGGGTGGTGATCTACAATTTCAACTATACAACCTAAAGTAAACGATTATTTTTCGACGCATTAGTATATAGTTAATATTTTATAATATTTTTTATTCGTTTTGTATACAACGCACTTAAATATAACACTGATTTTAAAAGGACTGTACGTACTTATTTATATTTGCAGAGATATATAATGCTAGTTTTAGAATGACTGTTTTATTTATATTTGTATCTATAATACTGGTTTTAAAAGGACTGTACTTATTTATATTTGCAGAGATATATAATGCTAGTTTTAGAATGACTGTTTTATTTATATTTGGATCTATAATACTGGTTTTAGAATGACTGTTATTATTTATATTTTATCTATAATACTGATTTTAAAAGGACTGTACTTATTTATATTTGCAGAGATATATAATGCTAGTTTTAGAATTACTGTTTTATTTATATTTGGATCTATAATACTGGTTTTAAAATGACTGTACTTATTTATATTTGGATCTATAATCTGGTTTTAAAATGACTGTTTTATTTTTATTTGGATCTATAATACTGGTTTTAAAAGGAATGTTTTTATTTATATTTGGATCTATAATACTGATTTTAAAAGCAATATTTGTTAATATTTATATGCATAAAGGTTAAAAAGACGGCTTTTAGATCTGTCTACGTAAGGATGTATGCAAAAACAAGTTTTAAAAAGTACAGCTCCCAATTCTGTGTATCTCTTCCTGTTTTTACCTAATTATTTCCTAATTTATATAATTATATATTTAAGGTTAATTTTACTATAGTTAATGTAATTACAAACAAAAAATCCACTCCCCAGTGTCTGGTGAATTTACTAATTAATGTATCCTCTATCAAGGAATATGTAGTAATTACATGCAATATTAAGCTTAATTCTCCAAATGTACATTAGGACCCAGAACAGTGGTGGAACAAGAATGCAAGGTTTAAGCAATCTTATTTTGTTTGGTGATTATTTTACCAGTAGGTTGAAGATCAACTGATTAAAGATGAGGGGTCTGTGACTATTTGTAATAATCTATTCCACAGTTTTCGTGTTCATTGGACTATTAATAATCATCTATTCCACAGTTTTCATGTTCATTGGACTATTATTAATCATCTATTCCACAGTTTTTATGTTCATTGGACTATTAATAATCATCTATTCCACAGTTTTCATGTTCATTGAACTATTATTAATCATCTATTCCACAGTTTTCATGTTCATTGGACTATTAATAATCATCTATTCCACAGTTTTCATGTTCATTGTACTATTTATAATCATCTATTTCAAAGTTTTCATGTTTATTGGACTATTTATAATTATCTATTCCACAGTTTTCATGTTCATTGGACTATTTATAATCATCTATTCCACAGTTTTCATGTTCATTGGACTCTTTTTAATCATCTATTCCACGGTTTTCATGTTCATTGGACTATTTATAATCATCTATTCTACAGTTTTAATGTTCATTGGACTATTTATAATCATCTATTCTACAGTTTTCATGTTCATTGGACTATTTATAATCATCTATTTCACAGTTTTCATGTTCATTGGACTATTTATAATCATCTATTCCACAGTTTTCATGATCATTGGACTATTTATAATCATCTATTCTACAGTTTTCATGTTCATTGGACTATTGTGATTAAAAATCAATGTTTTCTATTTGTGCATAATTTTGCATATTTTTTCTCTTTTCTTTTGGAAACCTGTATTTTCAAAAAAAAATTTATTCAAACAAATTTAAACTACACCATTTATATATGTATTTATATCTTTGTGTGTGAATAAATCTTTATAATATTAATATTTATAATCATCTATTCCACAGTTGTCATGTTCATTGGACTATTTATAATCATCTATTCCACAGTTTTCAATGTTTTCTATAATCTTTTACAAAATTAATCAACATCGTACTTAGATCAACTTATGTTAAAAATATGTTTTGCTCAAACAATTTATTATTCTATTTTATGTTTAAAAATTATTAACTAATATGTATTTCTCCACCACGGCAAACTAGACAGAAGAAGAAGGTTAAAATTATGCGATATTACTGGTCCAACTTTGTGACCTGGTAGAGTTTTGAAATTACGCACTAATTCAAAGGAAATGACAATCTCTGGTTTTCTAAATCTCTTTCTCATATATATGTGTGGTACATATGATATTTCAAACTATGAGATATATTAGATGAAAACGTCTAAGTTTGAAATATAAAAGGTTCAAGCCATCAATTATATAATCAGTATATACATTTTAAATTCAAAATATGTTTGTTTTTCACAAACAGATTGTCAAGTATACAATAGATGGCAACGTAGAATTTGTACACTCTCAGTACAGTTGTATTCTGACGTCCCAAGTGTCAATTCAGTTTTGTTCCCGACAAAATTGTCAATAATAGTGATAATTTTAGAATAAAGTGTTTATCTTACCGTAAAATAAGTGCAATTTTATGTGTTCCTTATTTTCAGTTTTAAAACTTTTTTATTAATCTTGTAAATATGTCAACTAATGGGAGAAAAAAATGTTTTCCTTGTTATATTTGATACTTGTGACGTCGTGTATAATTGGTCCATTTCTCTGTTGCCACCTGCAGTTGTTCTTGATAATCTATTTGGTTTTTAATATAATATAATTTTCAATATAAAGAGTTTTCGATTGGACACATAAAATATCAATCTTACATTCAATTTATTTTAGTCTAAGGTGACATTACTAAATGTTATTTAAAAAGTTTTTAATTTTTTTATTACTTAAATGTCTTACAGTTAGGATGATGGTATCAAAATGAGAGTGGGAGCAAGGTTAAGTTAGAACCCTGTTTGTATAATGAAACCTACCTCTATAAAGAACTTGCATTGGTCCGGGTATCTAGAAACAGAATGGAAACTCAGAAAGTCCAGTCAAAAATATTTTAATTTACTCGCATCAAACTTTAATTTGTTTAGCAACCTGACATTATAAAACATTAGTATGCAAAAATATGAATTCTGAAACCATATTTAATTTTACAAATGGATTTCTCGTCAATTTGACCCGCAGCGCACAAGATTTGAACCCGAGTTATGCGATTCAACTATTTTTCGGTATTCATTAAATCTAGTCCCTGTTAGATCAATTTGTTGCAAATTATTCAATGCTTAGGATCCATTTAATTTTGATGCGGATCCGGATCCTGGATCCGCGCGGGAAAAAAATGGATCCGTATCCAAATCCGGATCCGGATTCAGGTCATTTCTTAAGGAATTTACTGATTTTTTTTAACAAAAAATAAGTTTCAAATTTTTTGTTTTATTTTTTTCCGCTTATTTTATCCTTGATGAACCATTCAGAAATGAGGAAATTTTTATAATCTCTTTTTTCTTCAAAAGTTCAGATTGGGGTTGTAGGAGTAAAAAAGTTTTTTTTGAAGTTTTTGGTTGATATTTTACCCTTTGGATCGGGATCCGGATCCAGGAAGCCAAAATCTTGCGGATCCAGATCCGGATCCTAAGCACGGGTAAATGTATAGGATTTAGATAATTAGTGTTTGAGGCAAGTATTTAATTCCTGAAAGAGATTGTAAGTGTAAATTCAAGTGACCCTGCATGCAAAGATAGTAAAACCAGATTTAAAACTATGTCATTAAACCCCTTGGGCTCTGATTTTACCGCTCTAACTCACTAATGCTTATTTGTAACCATTTACATGTACATTTTAGCATTATAAAGCATTTTCTGTTAGCTAATTGGTTTTAAGAAGTAATTGGCAAAATTCTCATTGATTTTTGATTGAGAGCTTGAGACCTTTTAATCACAGTGGTCAGACAAAGCTTTCAAGGATACTATTGTAAATCAGGCATTGCCATCTTTGCTTGGAGAATACTTGAATTTAAAATATTTATGTTATCGAGAGAATTATGTTTCTGGTTTAAATCCTTCCTTGATTCTTCAATCAGATCAAAACAGTTTCCTTCCACTGTCATGGGTGCTGAACCAACAAATATAATAATCAAAAACATATACATATATATATATATATATATATATATATATATATATATATATATATATATATATATATATATATATATATTTTGTTTGTCTGTCTGTATCCAATAAACGTCAGAAAGGAAGAAACCATCTCTCCCAAATTTTTGGGGGACATTACACATGACTCCAGGGAAGCATTTAGTACTTTTGAAAATGCACCAATTTAAAGTGAAAAATCTGAGAAAATTTGAGAACGATGCATGATGAAAAATTTCAAAGCAAAAGGCTAAAATTGTTATTAGGAAATGCAGGCGCGAAGCACCTTCAAATGCCTATTTAAATTAGAAATAGACAGTAAGAAGTTAACTCGCAAAAAAATATTTTATAGCGAAATAAGAAAAATTAAAAATCGATTTAAAAACCACTAAGATATTTAAATTATATTATTCCTGGAGTATTTTCTTCGAATCTCGAGTCTCTGTTATATTCTAAATTGAATAAAAACAAAATAAAAATATGTTTAATGAAATAAAATATCAGAATTCTCTATACCTCCATCAGTGCAGTTGGAACAGCTCATATTTTCCACAGAGTACAGGTAGAAAGTAACCACCAATCCTAGAATATAATAAATCAGAATTTTTCAAATTCAAACTCGGCCTTTAAAGGAACTGTAAGCGTAATTTTAAAGGGAGTGCTCGCTAAAAATGAAAGGGGGTATAGGCTCACGGCGAAAAATAATCGCCTTCGAATTCAGAAAGTTGCAATATACGACTCGTATAGTAAAATAATCAATTTAAGTTCAAACAAATCACTTAGATATTACAACCTAAAGCCCTCGATTTTTTTTTGACGTATTCGTATACAGTTAATATTTCATAATATTTGTTGTTTGTTTTATATACATTGAACTTAAAACGACTTTTTTTCGCCTTTGTCTCTGCCACGGGGGGGGGGGTGGCGGCAAGCGCCCCCCCCCCCAGCACTTTGAAGTGTAAACCAGTTTTGAATTTTACTAAACAACTTGCAACACTATCATAAAATACAAATATGATTTTGTATTTATTTTATTTTGAGCTGACAAAGTTTTACAGGGTTTTGTTGAGAATCGTATATACCACTCTACTTGAGCACAAATAGACCCTTCAACTTCCAAACCGAGTATTTTTAATTTGAATAAATATGTACTTACTACTTGTATATTGTACAGTGAGAAAATAGTGTAATAGAAAGACGACATTAAAGCAATTTTCATAGTGCATTGAATGTTGTTACAAAGCATATAGTTATATTTGTAACTTAAAGACAATTAAACAGTAAAATGGTCTATGCACACTGCATATGTTCATTGGAATATTAAAAATCATAACTTTAGCCTAAAATTCCTTTTCCTATTCCAGAGTTAAGACAGCATGTTCATACATGTATCAAGAAAATGGATATTTATCTTTTTTTAAACTTTAATTCCATGGTTGTACATGACTGTAGATAACTACATCAAACCTGTATTGGGATTAAGCCTAACTAAGCTTATCAATAACTATAACGTAAAACTTGTAATTGCGTTCATTAATGTAACCTGTACCATAGAACTCAAAATATACGTTAGTCGGAATAATACTCCGCTTTGTTTTTGGTGTTCGAGTAATTATATACCTCGTGTAAAAACGAGAGGGACCTGAGTTTTGAGTCTTGAAAGATAGATATAGGCAAGGAAATACTGATAGAGTCATATTCCGTTTGATATTGACTAAAGTATTATTGAACGTAATAGTTTGTGATTGGGTTGTATCTTGTAAGTCAGATACCTGAGAATACTGATAGAGTTGTATCCGGTTTGATATTGACAAAAGTATTATTGAACAGAATAGTTCCTGATGCAGTTGTATCTTGTAAGACAGATACCTGAGAATACTGATAAGAGTCGTATCCGGTTTGATATTGACTAAAGTATTATTGAACGGAATAGTTCCTGATGAAGTTGTATCTTGTAAGACATATATCTAAGGATACGGAAGGCTATACCTGAATAGGTACCGATTTAAAAGTCTTTGCTTGAGTAGGGCATTTACTACAAACCTGATATTTTAAACTTAGATTTCTTTATGTAACATAATGCATAGCTTGAGATATCTAAGGTCTATACATCGGATTGCAAAGATATAAGGATTAGAACATCAGAGTTTGAGGCAAAGACTCATCTCCTTTCCAGTTATTTTCGGATAAACCGATTTTAAGATTTAGTCGCATTCTGGAATTCCATTTTATTCAAATTGTTTAGGTTATTTTTATGAAAATGCATGAATTTTCTGTTCAAATTCAAGTTTTAAATTTTGTTCAATTTCATCCCAATGCTAGACTTTTTTAGTTCGTATTAAGTTAAATCTAAGGTTTCATTATTGAATTGCTTGGAGGAAAATATTCCATTGTGTGTTTTATTTTTATTTAAACTAGCTGAAAGGCCCGGTGTCACGTTAAATAAGGCCCGGGCGTTATATTTGGTTCCTCCTATCAATTTTGTACATGGATTTCACATGTAACACTCACCCGGACCAAATATAACGCCCGGTCTGGATTTAACGCTACACCGGCGTTGCCCGTGAAAAAAAAAATATTTTGAAGAAAAACAAATTTGATTTTTTTTTAACCTATGTCACTCCCAGGCTACCCATAAGTGTCCACAAAAAAATTCAGCCCATTCGGTCCAGCCGTTTGGCCGGCCAGAGGGAACATATGTACGAATGTCTTGTTTTATTATATATATTGATAGATTAATGATTTAATATGCGCGCAGCATTCAATGGAAATAAGAATATGGTTTAGATTAATATGAATTGTGTAAAGATAAATGTGTATAAGCTGATTTCATATCGGAGCTGTGGACATAATTTCAAGTGACCCTCTATTTAAAACGGTGGACGCCTGATTCACACTCATTAAATCATTATCTATCAATCCATGTGATAAAATTGTTGTTTTTTCTATCCTGAAAGTGTTTAATTCCAACATATTCTTGCTTGCTTCCGAAGCAGAAATGCTCGAGTCACTTTTATAGAGACGCTACAATTGAAAATAAAAAGTTTGCAAGGAAAAAATGATTGATATATTTGGCATACCTAATCAACAAAGTATTCAAGGGTACCGATGTGTATCGAACACGAAATTTTATAATTTATAATTTACGTCTCCGGTCCCTTTCAGCTTTTCCAAGGATCTCATTCCAAAATGTCTGTTTTAAAATCAAATCCAGCATATCCACTCCTGTATGCCAAGTTCATTAGCGCCTAATCACGGGCAGCGGTAGTACATTTGAATTTCCGAGCCGGTCCAACCTTTCCGGTCCCCGTTTGTACTGTACTTGACTCAATATGGACAGGAATAGCCGGTGAAACAAGTTTGGCGCGGTCCGACTTTATGTTTCAAATAGGTTGAATTTACTTTTACTAAAGAGGCAGAGGTGCGCCTAAGCCAATCCGGGTTCAGTCTATGTCAGTAATGTCTATTCTGAACCAATAGAAATAGTATGGCGGTAACATCTATCTTTCTATCTATATCATTATCCAATTAGAGTTATGAATCCTTCAATCAGCGCTATCAGTAAATGGAAATATTTACTTCTACTGAAACTATATCCAAAACATTCTGATAGTAACAAATGCAACACTTTCTCTTCGGTTAGATTACTGCACTAGCTGAAGTGTCCGGCGTTGTCCGTGGAATTTTAAAACACACATTTTTAAATTCGATTTTTTAGCCTATGTTACCAGTGGGTTTCCCAATAAAATTTCAGCCAATTTGGCTCAGGCACTTGGCCAGCTTTACACAATATAAATATGAATACATTCCTGAAAATGTTCTGATTATTTGAGCATAATTACTAAGTATCAAATACTAAATGCTACATGAATGTATATCTAGTTGAGATTTCTATATGTATACATTGTTTCATCAAATACGATCAAAACAAAATTATCAAACATCATATTTTCAATTGGCTCATATTAAACTTTCTTTTTTGTTTTGTTTTAAGCTGAACCATCTTACATTATTATTTTGTATTGTGTTTGTAAAATAAATACTATAATATGAAGGTATTCATGTTCACATACAGGGTGTCATCAAATTATACCGCGTCAATGGGTCTAAATTACGATTTAGGGGACAAATCCGAAAATTTAAGAAGAATGAATCATTTTGAAAAATTTAAGGCTAATGAATTTTTTTTGCTTAAAATGCTAGATTTTTCGAGTATTATGTGCGTATTTAAGTGTTAAAGATTGGAGATAATCTAATATGATATGGTACGCTCTGTATAATATAAAGGTATACGTGTTACCCACAAAGGATGAAACTTTAAGAACGATGAAAACAATGCTTGGAGGCATGATAGGCTAAAGGTTAAATTTAGTGTTTTTTGGCTGGAACAAAGTTCTTAAAAGGCGAATTTGATTTAGCAAAGAATGAAATAAGTGTACAACATACATCGGTCTTCCATAGGGGGGGGGATTCATTTCTTTCCTTGATTGAGTTTTGGTTGATGAATAGTGAATACAATATTGAGATAATTAACAAATTCTCATTTAGTATTCCTATCTAGATATCAGACCAAAAACAACAAGGAAATAACCTGGAGCAAATTCGTCTCTCATTTCTAGATTTTAATATATTCTTCGTGGATGCTGGATTATTCTTAAAAATCAAAGAGAAAAGTGAGAGAAAAAATGCATGTTTAAAGTTTGATGCAAGTTTTCATGGTTCATTTAAACCAAGAATGTATAATGCAAGGAAAGTTAATTGCAGTTGCGTATACTCTGCGTACATATTGAAACCAGTTTTCTCTGGGCGGAATTTGTATCCGAGGAGGTTAAAAGCATTAAATTTTGATAATTTTGATAATTCACATAATAATTTTCTATGACCAGAATATTTCATTGATTATTTATGTGAAAGATGGATCCCATGTCAGGCTTCGACATCCGTCTTGTGTTTACATTACCGCCCAGTGAGAGTACACTGCAGTACAAAAGATGCGTACACCTCTGAAATAACTTTCATTGCATTAAATCCTTGAATTAAACCTTCTAAAAAATTGCACAAATAGAATCTTCGAATTAAAATTACAAAATAATTCAACAACGCACAAATAAAAATAATGATTTTTTAAAGTTTAAACATGCATATCTTATTTGTTTTTGATCATTAATGGTACCGTTGTGAATCTCCAGGGAGTAAGGAATAGAAGGGAGATATAACTGACGCGGTTCCCCCTACCATAAGATTACACATGCTTTGCAGACGGGTACTTCATTTGTATATGAAATATTCACAAAAGGTTATTGTATACGCGGTAATTGTACGTCAGACAAATATTTCTTATACAAATGAAGTACCGTCTGCAAAGCATGTATAGTCATATGGTAGGGCGAACGGGGTCAGTTACATCTCCCTTCTATTCCTTACTCCCTGTAAATCTAACCACACTATAAATGGTGTAGTACCCTTAAACTAGTTCAGAAACAATAGTATTAGCAAGAACTATTTCAATCAATTAATATTTAGTTCATTTGTTGAACCTGGAGATTTTCTCTCTTCAAGTTGTGTTGTGCATTTTTTATGTAATCCATTTAGCTTTGTAAAAGTTCTTCTTCTTATAAGTCTAAGTGTTTTTTTTTCGAAAAAAAATACAGATTTACTAATAAAAAAAATTAATTTAGTATTTTTAAACAGCACTATTCTTAAAAATATTTTTTTAAAAGAACAAAAAAATTTATTATAGGTATTGTAAGCATAACTTCAAGTGGCCTTCCATGCAAAGATGTCAATGCCCGATTCACAACGGTAACCCTAAAAGTTTTGTCTGATCAAGTATAAAACAATCAATGTTTTTAATTTTGAAAACTGTTAATTTTTAATTAAGAAAAATGACAATATTTACCAAATTATTAATCAGATAAAGATGTCATGGGTACCCCGTTGTGAATCGGGTATTGCCATCGTTAAAAAAAGGAGGGGGGGGGAATCGAATAATGACGAGCTGGGGGTGGGAGGAAATCATGGTTCTTTAAATGTATTTTATAAAATTGTGTATGGGCTGACATCACATGTCCCTAGGGAAGGTTTATAGATGATCAAAATTTCGAAAAGAAATTGAGTCTTTGCAACAAACTCTGATTTTCCCATAAAATTTGATTTTCTTTAAATTTTGAAAATCCACGACATTTTTTGTTTTTGTTTTACAATCTATACAAAGAAAAAATGTTCACAAAGCTTTGTATCCTAAATTGCAGGTTTGGTTTATTATATAATATCAACCAATACTTTTAACAATTTTTTGGTTCGCTACAAACATCCGCTTTAATGGCTGCAAAAAAAATAAGTTGTTATTGGTGTCTTACTTGTAAACACTTCTCTGCTTACGTCTGATAAAAAGTGCAAAATCAAATTTGAAAAAGTTGATTGAACTTTAAAATTTAAAACTTTAAGTTAAGACTGAAAACTGCAAATTAAAAATTGGAAATGAGATTATAGAAAGAATAGGAACTGATTGTACAAATAAATATTTTAAGTTTGTTTAAGATTAAAACCATTCGTCTACTAGTTTTTACTATAATGCACTTGAAGGGCCACATTTTGAGTATGGAATTATAACAGGGGGGGGGGGCGTAAAAAATGCTAAACTACAGAAAATCAAATCTTTGCAAAAAAGGGCAAATGGAGCAATACATAATAGTTCATTTAAGGCACATCATTCAGATCCAATATTCTTCAGATTAGAACTTCTAAATTTTGATGATACATATAAACTAGGTGTTCTATCTTTTATGCATATATACTTTTATGGAAACCTTCCAACTTCCTTCCATGAACCAAATAGAACAAAATCATATAAACTTGAATGGGTTCTCTTAAATTCTAGAATGTTTCCCTCCGCTTTATTTCCAAAAGTATGAAATTCGATTGAATTAGAGCTTAAAGAAACTAAATCTGCAAAAAAATTTAAAAAAATAGTTGCCAAGATTTATTTAGATAGTTATGCAACACATATGTTACCCTCTGTTCAAACCCATCCGCTAAGTACCCTCTCTTTTCCTTATACTCCCTCATCTCCCCCTTACCTTTTTCCTGATTTTTCTTCATTATCATGTTTAAAATGTAACCCTTGTATTTATCTATAATTACAATTTACTCTGGGCCGTAGTAAATTTGAATTCGAACAGAACCTGCCTAGTTTGTACCGCCTGCCAGGTAGCAGCGTGTACTGACCCGATTCTATGGTAGCCCGGTTCTGTACATTACGTCGCCCTAACCAGACTAACATACAGGGTGTCCCACATCATATTAGACCGTCAACGGGTCTAAATTGCGATTTTCGGGACTAATAAGAAAATATAATTCGAATAAATCAATTTGAAAAATAACATAAGGCTTAAATAAGAATTTTCTTGCGGAAAATGATAAGTTCTTCGAGTATTAAGGGTTTATTTTGTCGTTAAAGATTAGAGATAATCTAATATGATATGGGACGCTCTGTATGACAGGGGTCAATTTTCTTGGTATAGTCCCGTCAGAGGGTTAACTATATCACAACTCCCATGGCGCGTTCAGACTTTTTGCCTATTTGACCGACCCCACTCGCTTAGTCCACCGTGAATTCTCATTCGTTAATAAAGGGCCAACCAATTGAAAGAAAGTTTAAGAAAAGAAAATCTTTTCTAAATTTTCATTCCAAACATTTTTTTCTTTCAAACATTTGTTTTTTTACGCTAATGTTGATCTATGACAGAAAGTATATGCAAAAGACGATCCAAAGACGATCCCAAAACGATCCATAAACGAAGGTGTTGGAACGATCGTTTATGGCATCTTTCTTTTAGGTTAAAGATTTAGCAAAATTTAATAAAAGCAAACTTTAACTAAATTTTGGATTTTCTGAAAATATAATAAATAAAACAAACCGGTCCAAAACGACTAAAAACATTACCTGGAAGCACAAGAACTATCCAGACCCCAATCAGAGCCAGCTTCATCTTATTCTTCTCCAACATTCCAGGAGTATCATCTCGTTCTGGAGCAAAAGGTTCTATCTCAGCTGTTCGAACCTCGCGACCCACCATCTCGAATCTCTAAGATATTTGTTCAGATTAATTAATTAATACAGCGTAATTTCAAATGGTCCTACATTAAAAAAGTGATAACCAGAACACTCTGAAATAGGAAGACGACTTTTAAACTCAAGTTAGGACTTAAACAAGTTCAATGAACATTAGACATAGCAACTGTACAGTGTAAATCGACCCATTTCACTTAAATGGTGCTTTGCTGAGTTACTAGTAAAAATATTTGCTTTGTAACAACATCAAAACACTTAATTAATGCTATAATGTCGTCTTTCTATTCCATTGTTTTCCAGTTATCACTGTATGATTCACAATGGTACCCTTTAAACCTCATATCTTAGTAACAATGAAAAGTGAAAATGTCCTTCATTCTCTCTGAGGTAAAATTCGCAAGTCACTTTAATTAGAATTATTTAATTTTTCAGCTCAAATCGTATTCGTAATCATCAGAGAAAGGTTTGTGAATCAGTCATTCCTTTTTTTGTAATGGAAGATCACTTGAAATTACGTCTCCTGTCCCTTTAATACTCTAGCAATTTATGTATGTATTGTATTCATATCAATATCAGAAGTCTTTGCATATCAATATTATTTATATTATGTATTGTGTAATAATCTCTGCAATTCAGACTCACCAACATTTGTAATTAAGGCATAATAAAAGAATATGTATAACATATATGTTACAAATACATATCAATGATTATAATTTATACAAAATATTTTATAGTTAATGATACAAATGTTTGCACTTCATGAAAATTAAAACTATAAATATTAGAAAGAATCGAGTCTTTGTCGCAAACTCAGCTTTTCTTATCCCTACATTTTAGCAACCCGTTGGCCACTCTAGTATGCCGAGTCCATTAGCGCCTGATCCAATCAGGGTTCACCCATGTGTTTGGTGACTATTCTGAACCAATAGAAATGGCATATTCGGTAACATCTATCTTTCTATCTAGCTCATTATCCAATTAGAGATATCGGCGCTATGACAGTAAATGGAAATATTTACTTCTACTTAAACTATAGTGAATATTACTTGAATATTTGAAACTAGCTATGCATTCTGTTAATTCAAGTAATCTAAGTTGGAAATATCAAAGGTTTACATCATCAGGTTGCAAAAATATAGGAATTTGAAAATTTAAGTGTACGTTGGCGTACTGTGTCAGCTTAACGCGGATGACGTCATGACGTCATATTTATTCTTGAAAAACCTAGAATGTGCTTTGTACAACTGGTTTTCCAAAATTCGAATATAAATATTTACATTCTGTCACTTCTTGAGTGTAAATATTTACATTCTGCCACTTCTAGAGTGTAAATATTTACATTCTGCCACTTCTAGAGTGTTTGTTCCTAAAGTTGTTTTGATCCAATGTAAATATATATGAGTTCCTGGATGTTCCTATAGTTGTTCAGAATATCCAGAAATATTGCAGTTTTATTTGCTAAACTTGTGACAAACTTGAATTCTATAAGCTTAATATATTCAGATAAAGATAAAGGCCAAAATGTCATAAATTAACCATATCTGAGTTTATCAATGCTGGGTATACTAGTCTTGTTTGTTTATCAATTACTGTTACCCTGACATAGAATAGAAGACTCAAATGAAATAGACAATGAGGATTGATAGATTGAAAGTTATTTAAAGGGATTGTTCGCCAAAAATGACAGGGGGTATAGATTTACTTTGACTATTTTTTAATTGTAATATCTGAATGATTTGTTTGGAATCAAATTGATTATTTTACGATCCGAGTTGAATGTTCCAACTTTCCGAATTTGTATGGACGCTACGTTCTCCGGTGTCAGTCGATTTTAACAATTTTCTCCTTATAGACGTATCATATAGAAGTAAGATTAGTAGCAATCAAAAGCGCTTATTTTTCGCCGTAAGCCTACACCCCTTTACATTTTTCGCGAACACTCCCTTTAAGTTAAATAATAAAAACTAAAAATGTTTCGGTCCTATGAAAAAGTATAAAAACTTATAAAACCCTGTTCTGCTATTGTTTGCTGATTTTTTATTATATATTTTAGTATAATCGTAGATAACAGCAAACAACTACCAGAAAGGATATTACCCTTTTCATGAAAGGATAAAATAGATCCCGTATTTCCCTCTCGTCCGGAGGCAAAAATTTTGTAATTTTTTTCTTTCGTTTTTTGTAACAAACAAGAGAATATAAGAAGGTTGACATAAAGTCGATTTATCACCTTTGAACGAACTAATTCAGATTTGATGAGTTTTATCCCTATTTTGACATCATTAATCATATTTTCAAAATAATCAAAGTTTATATAAAAAATGTTACATATGTTATATGTTGGTTAAAGACGGCAACGAATTGAGTCTTTGTCACAAAATAAAATTTTCGAATCCCTATATATTTTCAACCTGATGGTGTAAACCTTTCATATTAAAATAATAGCTTTGTAAGATTAAATCATCTAAGTTTGAAAAATTAAAGGTTTACACCATCAAGTTAAAAAGATATAAGGATTCTAAAATTTGAGTTTGTGGCAAACCCTCAGTGTAAAAATCAGGTGTAAACAATATCTTTGCAACCCGATGTCGTATACCTGTGATATTTCAAACTGTGAATTCTGATAGATCAAATATATTAAGTTGAAATATCAAAGGTTTTCACCACATCAGTCTGCAAAGTAGAGATTCAAAAACTTGAGTTTGAGGCAAGAGTTCAGTTTCTTTCATGTAATTTGTATTGGCTGATTTCCCCCTGAAGACGAGAAAAATAAAAATACCAAAAATAAGAAATAAGAATGTTTTTTTAAAAGTCATCATCATTGGGGGAATTCAAATCTTTAAATCGGTAAATCTATTTTTATCCCACACAGCAGACAAACCACAACATATTTCTCCGGAACTATGCACAACATATTTCTCAGGAACTATGCACAACATATTTAACTATGCACAAAATATTTCTCAGGAACTATGCACAAAATATTTCTCAGGAACTATGCACAAAATATTTCTCAGGAACTATGCACAAAATATTTCTCAGGAACTATGCACAAAATATTGAGTAAGATTAAATCTACTATAACAAGCTTATACAATACTAACTTGAGAGCCCAGCGCAGGGTACTCTAAAATTACTCGCACCGTTTACCCGCGCTTGGTCGTAAATTACGATTTATTTGTTCACATAAAAGTAGAATCTCAAAACCAATCTAAGAATATTCCCGTGGTTCTCCCGAGTTTACCATAAAAATTTGATGCAAATCGGTCCAGGAGTTTCTTAGTTATGACTTTATATTTATAGAAGATACAGTCTGTACTCTGTAGATCTACTGGTTCTACAGTTTGATTTATTGATCCCCCCCTTTATATTTATAGAAGATACAGTCTGTAGATCTTGGCCCCCTTTATATTCAAGTTTCTTGATAATATATGATATAGTACATAATGTTTTATTCAGCAGAAATAGAGTTTGGGTCCAACTCATTTCTAACTCCATTGTATAGAGATAAACTGAAGTTTATATATATTATATAAAATGAAAAGAAAGTAAGCTCTGTTTGTTCAAAACTTCTTCACAAGTGTTAAAGTGGGAAAGGAAAGTGCAAAGTACGAGAATCATGAATGGATTTGGATAAGGGGTGCCAAAAAAAGTGTTGTAATCATTTTGGACCGTTTAACAAACTGGTTTCACAAACTGGTTTAACAAACTGGTTTAACAAACTGGTTTAACAAACTGGTTTAACAAACTGGTTTAACAAACTGGTTTAACAAACTGGTTTAACAAACTAGTTTAACAAACTGGTTTAACAAACTGGTTTAACAAACTGGTTTCACAAACTGGTTTAACAAACTGGTTTAATAAACTGGTTTAACAAACTGGCTTAACAAACTGGTTTAACAAACTGGTTTAACAAACAAAATATTAATACAAACTGGTTTAACAAACAAAATATTAATAAAACTTCCAAGATTACAAATCTGTAATATATGTTAAGTTTGCTTTTATTGAACTTTGCAATATTTTTATCTAAAAAAAGGGGGAAAATTATCCAAAATCGATCGTTAAAACGCTTTTGTTTTTGCATCGTTTTTGCATCGTTTTTTGCGTTTTTTTGCGCATACCTTCTGTCAAAGGCAACATTTGACATAGTGTAAGAAAGGCGAATGTTTAGAATAACAAAGTTAAAAAAAAACATTTGCTCTTGTTATACACTATGATTTCCGTTATATCAAGTAATCATAGTTTGAAATCTCAACGATTTACACTATCAGGTTGGAAAGATATATGCATTAGAATATTTGATCTTGTGGTAAAGACTCAATTCCGTTAACTCTGAAATTAGAATGTGGTATTTAAAGAGTTTCCAAGCTTTAAAAAATGATTTTATATTTCTAAAAAACTTTGACTTTTAACCAGAGATAAGCAAGGGCGTACACAGAAATAAATAATTCTAGGGTGGGAAAATTTTGTTTCCCCCCCCCTCCTTTAGGGGCTCCTAGGGAGGGGGGGGGGCAAAATTTATACATTTTAAACATTTTGCGTCTAAACATTTTGCGTCTTGGATACTTTAAAGGTACACATACAGTCCAATTAACTTGCAAGTACCTAGGGCGTATACAGGGAGGGGCAAGGGGGCAGTTCCCCACCTAGACCTGCAAAGGGGGGCGTAGCCCTCCCTTCCTAGAACTCAAAGCTTTTACACTTTTCAAATCTTAAACTAAAGAGTGAAGAACATAAAAATATTAGTTTGCTGCTCATTCAGTGCACTAAGAAGATTGAATACATGGACCAGTGCCACCATGACTTCTGTCCGTATGACAAATCTATTTAGAATGCACATTACACATTCATCCTAATCAGGGATGGCTAAGTAAAACAATTATTTTTAAATGCCAAGCCACTAAGGCTTGAGTTTGGAGGTAGTAAAAGAGCATTTTTTGTTATTTAATTTGGATTTAATTCATTTTATTCATTGCACCACCGTTTTGTAATCTTTAGCTTTTTATTACAAACTAGCTGAAATGCCGGACGTTGACCGTGGAATTTTAAAAGTCGATTGAAAAAAAACTTTTAATTTATTTAGCTTAGTCAACCC